TTGCCGGGGGGGGCAGGGGCTGGAAAGGCAGTGGCACTGAATTAATAAAAGCTTGATTAAGAATGGTCCTTTCTCTGAAGCGAGTATGTATTGAACACAGCAATTTGCAACCTCAGGCACGCAACAAAGAACAACCAAAAATCTCCGCCTAAGCTAAGATACAGCCAGGTAAAACACACTGAGAGCACACACAACTTAGTTTACTTTAAAATTGAATGTAATAAACAAAACAGACAAGAGAAAGCCTTGCATAAGTCTTATGTAATCCTGAGGTCAGACGGTCTCCTCACAGCCAGGTATTCAGAAAGTCCTTCTTGAGGAATCAGCAGATTGTCTTGGTGTTGAAGTGGAGATCCCACAGGCCTCATCTCTACTTGGGTTTTTACAGGTGCACTTGCACCCCCTTCTCCCCCTTGGGTGCCTTGACATTAGTATGCTTGTCACTTATAGCACCTTTGGCAGGAATCTCATGCATTCAGTGTCTTTCATCTCTTGGGTATTCCTATCTCCCACCTTTTCAGGTTCTGCTTTATAATGTAAATGTAGTTCTCTGCTTTCTTTGCTCACACCAGGCCAAACAGTCCCTCTCCTGTTCCCTTAGCTCCATCTCCAGCACATATTTATTATGATTGTGCCAGGTCTTTGCCAACACCTCTCACCTCTCAGTCTGGTCCTGCAGGACCAGGTGGCAGGGGACCAGTCCCTCCAGCCCAGGTTCCCCAGCCTTTTCCCCCCTCCCCAATGGCCTGGGGGAACTGAGGGGAATTATGCCCGCTCCCCCAACCCTTATCAACTGCTTTCCTGCCTCAATCTTTGCCAGAGGTGGGAGGGGGTGGATTCTGCTGGTCTCCTGCCGTTTTATAATATAAATGTAGTTCTCTGCTTTCTTTGGTCATAGCAAGTAAAGCAGTCTTGGACCCTCTCCTGGCACCAGCTCACTGATCTGGGGAAGGGGGAATTAGAGACCTTGCAAGACCCCAGACCCCAGCTGGGGTTTGCCTGGGGAGGCAATCCTTCTCAGGCTGTTGCCTCTGCCCGATGCCTTGCCCCCTCTGCTCCAGTGGGGAAAATTCTGGCAGGGGTTGTGCCCCCCATCCCCTCCTGCCCCTGGCAGACCCAGCTGGATTTCCCACTCCCACCTCCTTGTCAGCCAGCCCTCAGTGCTTCAGCTAGGGAGCAGATTTACGAGGGCGAACTTCAACGAGCTAAGGAGGATAGTTGGAGAAGCGCTGAAGACTCAGAGGGGAGGGGAGCCGGGTGTCCAAGGGGAGTGGTCGCTCCTTAAGGAGACGATCCTCCAAGCCCAGAGGAAGGTAATCCCCAGGAGGGTCAAAGGGGGCAGGAGAGCATATAAGCCTCCATGG